TGGATGATCTTTCAAGGTCCCTTCAAACTCCAAATGTTCTGTCATTCTGTGATTTTCCCAAGTATGTCCAAATCCAGTGGTGCCGGCTTTGATACCATTGATGTTGTGACTGCTGCTTTAGAAACCACTTGTGTGTTTAGAGACCAGCCTGTTCCAGTGCTCTGTCACACTCACAGTAAAGAAGTTTTTTCTTATGTTCAGCTTGAACCTCCTATGCTCCAGCTTGCACCCATTGCCCCTTGTCTTGTCATTGGCTGTCACTGAGAAGAACCTGGCTCCTTCCTCCTGACACTGGCTCTGTACAGATTTATAAACATTAATGAGGTCACCCTTCAGTCTCCTCTTCTCCAAGCTAAAGAGACCCAGCTCCCTCAGCTGATCCTCATAAGGGAGATGCTCCTCTCCCTCTATCATTCTTGTGGCCCTGACTCTTTCAAGCAATTCCCTGTCTTTCTTGCTCTGAGGGACCCAGAACTGGACACGATATTCCAAATGCGGTCTCACCAGGGCAGAGTAGAGGGAAAGGAGAACCTCTCTCAACCTACTAACCAGATCCCTTCTGATACACTCCAGGATGCCGTTGGTATTCTTGGCCACGAGGGTACATTGCTGGCTCATGGTCATCCTGCTGTCCACCAGGACCCTGAGGCCCTTTCTGCTGTGCTACTCCTCAGCAGGTCAGTCCCCAACCTATACTGGTATATGGGGTTGTTCTTCCCAGATGCAAGACTCTATACTTTCCCTTGTTGAATTTCATAAAAGCCTCATAAAGGGCTACCAGGTTGGTCAAACATGACTTCCCCTTGGTGAAATCTTGCTGACTGCTCCTAATGACCCTCTTCTTTGCAAAGGACTAATGGAAAATCACCTCACAGAGAAAAAGAATCAACAGGAAGGCCAGAAAGTGACAAACAAAGAAATAAATAATACACCAGACCACCACCTCGCAGTCCAGTGAAACTGTTGCTGCTGTATGCGCAAAGCTCCAGGAAGCATCACCCATACCCATGTGCAAGTGGTCACCTGCAGGCAGCAGCAAGGGCCCTCTTTGTTGAACCATGCAAGGGTTATTTGGCAGGGCGGAAGCCTCTGTGGTTGGAGAAGAAAAACACAAGGTGTTAGAAAATTAAGAAAACACAGTTCTGGGGCATGGGGCTTTCTCACTGGGTCTCAGAACACTGACCACACAGCTTGCACAAAGCAGCTTTTGCAGAGCAATTGCAAAGAAGAATGGCAAAGGCATTAATGGAGCACCTGAAGAACTCAGCTGCATGTTTGCAATGCATGTGCTCGATGATAAAGAAAATGCATGGTTGTATGCCATGAAAGTCCTCTGTCTTTCTTGCTGATTAACAAGACGTGGTGTACTCCGCTTTCCACAGCACAACCCTTGGGTGTTAGTAAAGTAAAGGCAGCAGAGCCCCTGCCAAGAAATGCAATCTGAAGGCTGCAACCAAAGCAGGGAGCTTTTCCATGACTTCTGCAGAGCTGGAGCTGCTGTGAACCCCCAGACGGCCAGGAGACGACAGCAGGCTGTAGTGGATGATCCTACCTTAGGCATCAGCATCCTCAGCCTCAATCTCTACAAAGTCATCAAGACACAATCCTTGAGGCACCATCAAAAACCAATGATAAATGATCCTAAACTCTGCATTACAACAGAAATTCTTCAGAAATGTTTTATTTTCCATTCCTTTTGCCACAAGTGCCAAACACCGCCTCTTTACTCAAGAGGATCCTGATGACATCACATCCTCTCCAAGCAGCGACGCAGCCTCCAAGTCAAGAAAGAAAGATCATCTCTGCTCCGCTGCACCGCGCCTGAGGACGGCCACCCCGAGGAGAAGATGGCCAGGACTCCTGAGCTGCTCCTTCTGCTGGCTCTGGGACTCTGTGAGTATGGACACAGGGTTGTGCATCATCTGCACCGGGAGGGACAACTCAACCCCTTCCACTGCAATGAAGTTAAAGGGAAAATTAAAATCCAAGCTCAGTTATTGTGGAGGCAAAGGCAGCATCACCTCAGCCAGCAAAAGTCAGCCAGAGAGGTTTAAAGAGGAAAAAAAGGGGCTTTAGCTATCAGTGGTTTGAGAGGACACTTCCGTTAAGGTGCGATGGAGCACTGTACTCGAGAAGCATCTGAAAGGCTTTTCTGAAGGGCACCACTCATCTTTAAAGCCCAGCTGGCTGATTGCTGAGCACCCCCACACACACAATCTTAGCAAGGACTCCAATAAAACCTTAATTGGGACAACATAGCTCTCCCTTTGCATTTGACCCTACGCCTCATGGACAGAGAATGACTTTTGCCCAGAGGAGACGTGGCTCTTCCTGAGCAGTTCCCATCAGGATTTCTCTCCTGCAGGCTGCCCTGGGATCCGGGGCCAGAGGTACCAGATGACGGCCAAATTTCGTGACAGCAGCATCACACACCCCGAGATGGGGCAGCGGCTGGAGCTGGAATGCCTGGCTGCCAAGGTGGACAGCGGTATATTCTGGATCCGGCAGGACAAGGGTGGGACTCTTCACTTCATCGTCTTCATCTCTTCCCTGTCCTGGGCCTTCTTCACAGGGAATGAGTGGACATCCACACGCTTTGAGACAAGCAACAAAAGCAAGTACTACCAGCTGGTGGTGAAGTCTTTCATGCCACAGGATGAAGGGACCTATTTCTGCCTTACAAGCAGCAACCAAGTGCTGTACTACAGCCCTGGCCTGCCTGTCTTCTTCCCAGGTCAGAAATACCTCCACCCCACCTCACCTAGCTCTCCCAAAATGTCCAGCTCTCCCTGTCCATATCTTTTTAATCAGTCCCCTCTCTCACAAACCCCATTCCCCTGCTTGCTTGACCAAGGCACCTTGTGAGCAGCGCACCCATCCTCCAGCCAGAGGCTCCCTGCTTGCTGATTCTTCTCATGGTATCACCCCTGCCCAAACTAAAAAATCAACGTGCAGACCCAGCATCACCTCCTTATCCCATCATGGCTCTGGAAGGATAAGACTAAAGCAAAGTCCACCACTCCTCTAGTCCTTCCTCATCTCACATCTGTCCCAAAAGTCCTACCAACCTCACAGTACTCACACTTTCTGACCATGCTGGCAGACAGCAAGAAATAAGGAGTCTGGGTCTTGGGAGATGCTCCTTGGGGGAGTAATTGTCCAGAATGGGCTCTGTGATGTTCCCCTGGAGCTGAGCCCTGCGCGGGCCACAGAAGCAGCTGTGGCCTGGCAAGGGAGGGAGAGCAGAAGAGAGGTATTTTATTGTACTTCTCTGTGTCCTGTATTCAACCATTCTCATTTACAGTCAACACCAACCAGTACAACATCACCAAAGAGGACCCCTGCCTGAAGACCCCAGGTAGGATCCAGTTAGCCCAGCTGCGGGGAGGGAGAGAGAAAGAGCTGGGCTCTGGTTCCCTGATACAGAGGGGAATCCTGCAGGAATTTTGGGGTGGGAGGAGAGTGAAATTCCTCAGAGCATTATCAGAGATGGATACCTGAATACATGGAACTGGAAGGACTGAACTCCCATGTTTCATCCAGTGCAGGAAAGGCTCAGGATGATGTAAAAAGCATGAGCACGTCTCATGCCTGAGCACACTGGAAAGAGGGGAAGCAAAGGTAGAGCCCTGGGGGATGGTGGTGGTTTTAGCCTCAGCAGGGGACACAAGAAGGTCTATGCTGTACTTGCAGTCTTTGCCGGTGGGCCAGGGGAAGCCCTGTGCTTCACCACCAGCCTCACTGATTGCAGATGGGTCAATAGACTGGTGCCTTGGCTCCATCAAAGCTGGACAAACAGTAGTGGTGGGCACCTGGTGGACCTTTCCTCTTCTCTATTCCTGCAGAGACCAGGAAGGACAAAGAACTGAATTTCTTCTGTGCAATATTCCTATGGCTTCCCTTGATAGGTGCCTTCCTCCTGGTTATCACCACTCTAGCAGTCACCATCGTGCTGTGTCAACGTAAGTTTCAACCCTAACCCCCCCATAAATGTTCCCATAGCTGAAAATTAGGAGGCAAATGTACCAGATCATGAAACACTTTGCCAAAATAGGAGAAACTTGCTTCTGACACGAGCCTTCCAAATTCAAATCTTGAGACTCTCATCACCAGCTTCAGCTATTACACAAGCAGCAACTTAATTACACAGGTCCAGGGACTGCTACAGTTAAAACAGTGATGCAAAACCTCTGGGTAGGAAAAAGTTATTTCCTGAAATCTCATGTGTCAAATGGCTTTAAATTACCCAACACGCCAGGCCAATACATATGAGCATCTGCTCCTTCTGCCTTCTGGATCATCTTGGGGAGCTGACACTGCATAAGCCCAGCACCCACGTTATCTGCACTGCTACTACTTCTCATGCACTCTGCCGTGGCAGATTGGAAAAGACAAGATGGAGCAGACACACAGACAGCAAGCACGCACGTGTTTGTCTGTGCACTGCACGCTAAAGCACAGCTCCACACAGCACCAGAGGTTTTCCAATTCATTCCCAAGGACAAACACCACCTCTGTTGCCAGGGACACAGCTCTGTGGGTCAGGCAAAAGGAACGGGTCAGGCCCCATGTTGACAGGCATCAGTGATCAGCCCATGAGAAATATGGATATCGGCTGGATCCTTCCTCAAGAGTGTGTAATGATTCTTTCTAAAATGCATGTAGAGTTTGAATTTGCTACAAAGCTACTTAGAAATAAAACCCTCTCTTAACACACAGCCTTGTTGTGGTGCTGTCAGGTATCTCCTAGCAGTCCTACTGTTGTATCTAATGTAACACAGGGCTGCACTGAGAAGGGAAGCTTTGTTTCAAGGGCTTTACATCTTCAGTTGGTACAACCGTGGGGGCTAAGGTTTACTGTTGCCCTCTTGCTGTCCTTGTTCTGCTGCTGGCTCCACTTTCACCAATTCCAGAAGTATTTTCCCTGAGCAAGGAAGGCTGGATTTTCTTTCTTTTGGGATGAAATCAATGACTGATTAAAGCAAACTACAAAAACAAACCTTTGTCATTTGCTTTGATTTAGCAAGACATGTAGTGTACTTTCTTGGGACTTGTGATTGACTACAGTGAGTTCTGGTTTTTCAGGTCTGTACTTGATGTAAATATTTCCTTACAACACTTGCAAATCAATAACCAAGATAAAAAAATAGAGCAATGTTTTTAGTGAGAGTCACTACTGTTTGTTTAAGAACTCTCACCCCTCTACTCTGCTCTGGTGAGACCCCACCTGGAGGTCTGCATCCATCTCTGAGACACACAACATGAGAAGGACATGGAGCTGTTTGAGTGAGTCCAGAGGAGGCCACGAAGATGATCAGAGGCCTGGAGCATCTCTCCTCTGAGGACAGGCTGAGAGAATTGGGGTTGTTCAGCCTACTAAGAAAGAGGAATCCTATAGCAGTGTCCTTAAGTCTGAAAATGAAAATGAGCAGAGGAAATGCAGGAGAAAAGGGGACACCCATTCCAAAGGCTGAGCTTTGTTCACTCCTGTCCAGGTCACAAAACCCACCAGCACTAGCACTGAGCCTCCACTGGAACTCTGCTGTTTGGCTACATTCGTGCACATAAATAATACACCAACCCATGGCCTCACAGTCTGGTGAAACTGCTGCTGCTTTATGTGCAAAGCTCCAGGAAGCATCACCCATACCCACCTGCAAGTGGTCACCTGGCAACAGCAGCTACCAGGTTATCGCTGCCTAAAATGATACTACTTGCCTTTCCTACTATCTGTTTTTAAGGTTTCATTATGTCTTATCCCACAAGTCAGAATTCTTTGCTTTTTATTTTGCCACAATCTGCTCTATCGTAGGCAGACCTCACAAGTATCACAGCCTCATGAAAGGATCAATTTCACACAGCTCAGCAGGCCTAACACCAGCTTTCCTCACTCACCAATGTGTTCTCATATCCCATGAACTAAACCCAGTTCCTCAAACATTTTCCATAACTCATCTTTAAAGTAGCAGCCAAAATAGCAATGGTAACAGAGCCAGCAGCACCAGTTTCTGACCTACTCACAAAAAGGGGGGCTTTCTTTGAAAATGACTAATGGAGAAACACCTCACAAAGAAAAAGAGTAAACAGAAAGGCCAGAAAGTGACAAAAAACAAAATAAATATTACACTAGACCACCACCTCGCAGTCTGGTGAAACTGTTGCTGCTGTATGTGCAGAGATCCAGGAAGCATTACCCATACCCATGTGCAAGTGGTCACCTGCAGGCAAGGGTTTTTTGGAAGAAAGCGGAAGCCCCTGTGGTTAGAGAAGAAAACCAAAAAGTGTGAGAAAACAAAAAATGTGTAAACCTCTGGCATGGGGCTTTCTTGGTGGGTTTCAGAACATTGACCACCTGCCTTGCACAAAGTGGCTTTTGCAGAGCAATTGCAAAGAAGAATGGCAAAGGGATCAATCGAGCACCTGAAAAACTCAGCTGCATGTCTGCAACACACATCTGTGCTCGATGATAAAGAAAATGCATGGATATATGCCACGAATCAGCTCTGTCTTCCACACTGGGTAATACAATACGGTGCGCACTGCTATCCACACCTCAAGCCTTGGATGTGCACAATAAAAGGCAGCAAAATCGCTGACAGAAATGCAATCTGGAGCCTGCAAGCAAAGCACGGGGCTTGTCCAGGACTTCTACAGAGCTGGAGCAGTTGTGAGCCCCCAGGTAGTAAGGACACAGCAGGCTGCAGTGGATGATCCTACCTCAGGCACCAGCATCCTCAGCCTCAATCTCTAGAGAAGTCATCGAGACACAATATTTCAGTCACTGTTAAGAAGAAACAATGAAAAATTAGCTCAAACCCCGCATTAGAATGGAATTTATCCAGAAATCTTTTATTTTCCCTTCGTTTTGCAGCAGATGCCGAACACCGCCTCTTTACTCAAGAGGGTCCTGATGACATCACATCCTCTCCAAACAGCGACGCAGCCTCCAAGTCAAGAAAGAAAGATCATCTCTGCTCCGCTGCACCGCGCCTGAGGACGGCCACCCCGAGGAGAAGATGGCCAGGACTCCTGAGCTGTTCCTTCTGCTGGCTCTGGGGCTCTGTGAGTATGGACACAGGGCTGTGCATCATCTGCACCGGGAGGGACAACTCAACCACTTCCACTGCATCCAAGACATTGGGCTAAATAATTAAAGGGAAAATTAAAAGCCAAGTAAAAAGGCTTCCTTCGAAGATTGCTCAGTAATTTTGGAGGTAAAGGCAGCATTGCCTCAGCCAGTGTAGGGCAGCCAGAGGGGTGGCTGCTGCCTCATGTGCAATGGGAAGGGATCAGGTTGGAGAAGTGGTACTGGAGGGGAGAGGACAGAAAGAGACTTTAGGAGTCGGTGTTTTAGGGAGTGACTTCATTTAAGGTGCGATGGGGCATTTTAGCTGAGAAGTGAGCTGAAAGGCCTTTCTGAAGGGCAGCACCCATCCCTAAAGCCCGGGTGGCTGATTGCTGAGCACCCCACACACACAATCCCAGCAAGGACTCCAGAAAAACCTTCATCGAGAAAACATGCCTCCTCCTTTGCACTGGACCTCACACTCCATGGACAGGGAATGTGGTTTCCCCAGAGGAGACATGGCTCTTCCTGAGCAGTTCCCATCAGAATTTCTCTCCCGCAGGCTGCCCTGGGATCCAGGGCCAGAGGTACCAGATGACAGCCAGGTTTCGTGACAGCAGCATCACACACCCCAAGATGGGACAGCAGCTGGAGCTGGAGTGTGTGATTCCTGAGGACGACAGTGGTGTATTCTGGTTCCGCCAGGACAAGGGTGGGATCCTTCACTTCATCAACTTTACAAATTCCCTGTCCCGGAACACCTTTGTGGGGAATGCAAAGGAGTCCACACACTTTGAGGCAAGCAGAGACAGCAAGTTCTACTGGCTGGTGGTAAAGTCTTTCACATCAAAGGACGAGGGGACCTATTTCTGCTTCATGAACAGAAACAAAGAGCTTTACTTCAGCCCTGGCCAGCCTGCCTTCATCCCAGGTCAGCAACACTTCCACCCTGTCTCACTTAGCTCTCCCAAGCTTCCCATGCTCATATCTTTTTAAATCACTCACCTCTCACACAATCCCACTGTCCTGCTTGCTGTTTCTTTTCGTGGTATGATCCATGCCCAACATCACCTCTCCATCCCATCACAGCTCTGAAAGGATAATATTAAAGAAAAATCCACAACCCCTACAACTACTTCTTCACATCTCTCACAAAAGTCCTACCAACCTCACGGTATTCAGGCTTTCTGAGGATGGTGACAGACAGCAAGAAATAAGGAGTTTATAGATCCTTACTGGGTCTTGGAAGACCCTCCCTGGGGAAGTCACCATCTGAAAAGAGGTCTGTGATGTTCCCCTGTCCTGCACAGGCCACAGGAGCAGCCGTGCCCTAGCAAAGGTGGGAGAGTGGTAGGGCAGAAGAGATATTTTACTGTACTTCCCTATTTGCTGTTTTCATCCTTTCTCATTTGCAGTCACCACCACACAAGCACCCACCACCCAGCGCAACAGCACCAAAGAGGACCCCTGCCTGAAGACCCCAGGTAGGATCCAGTTAGCCCAGCTGCGGGGAGGGAGAGAGAAAGAGGGAAAGAGCTGGGCTCTCGTCCCCTGATATGAAAGGAGAACCTGTAGGCATTTTGGGGTGGGTGGAGGGAGAATTTCCTCAGAGCTTTACCAGAGCTTGGTAACTGGGCTCGGGATGATGTAAACAGCATGAGCACATCTCATACTTGGGCACACTGGGAAGAGGTGGTGGGAGGGTAAAGCCTTGGGAGCTAGTGGTGGTTCTAGCCTCAGCAAGGGACACAAGAAGGTCCATGCTGCACTTGTGGACATTTCTGGTGGGCCAGGGGAAACCCTGTGCTTCACCACCAGCCTCACTGAATGCAGACAGGTCCTGAGTCTGCAGCCTCAGCTCCACCAGAGCTGGCCATAACACCAGCTGTCGGATTTTTAATGGACCTTTCCTCTCCTCTATTCCTGCAGAGACTACCAAGGACAAAGAGCTGAATTTCTGCTGTGACATCTTCATCTGGGTTCTCTTGGCACTCGCCTGCCTCCTTCTCATCATCGCCCTGGCAGTCACCGTCGTGCTTCGTCAACGTAAGACTCACCCATAACCCCCCGTAGATGTTCCTGTAGCCTGAAACCACAACCCTGTCCATCAGAGAATGGATCTTATAGCCATCCCCTTTATGTAGCCATCAGATAACCAGGACACAGTCAACCCAAGAGTAGGACCACTGTTAAAAATCAGTGTCCACATTTCCCTCATCTGCACACTTAGCCTGGAAAGGAAATATCAATTTCTAACTACAAGGAAAAAAACAGACAATGAATAGAGAAAATTTTCTCTATCAATCTGTATTTGCTCTACCATCCTTCAAGTGGTGAATTAGATTCTAAAAGTACCAGAAGGGAAAATCCTTTGCCAGCATGGGATAAAATGCTCTATCCAGGGGTTTGCAAATTCAAAGGCTGAGACTCTCATCACCAGCTTCAGCTATTACACAAGCAGCAACTTAATTACACAGGTCCAGGGACTGCTACAGTTAAAACAGTGATGCAAAACCACTGGGTAGGAAAAAGTTATTTCCTGAAATCTCATGTGTCAAATGGCTTTAAATTACCCAACACGCCAAGACAATACATATGAGCATCTGTGCATTCTGGATTGTCTTTGGGAGCTGACACTGCATAAGCCCAGCACCCACGTTATCTGCACTGCTACTACTTCTCATGCACTCTGCCTTGGCAGATTGGAAGAGACCAGATGGAGCAGACACACGGACAGCAAGCACG